TCGATTATCAGAGTTTCCCACGAGCACAGACGCAATGACGCGTGATACGCGAGAACTTGTTTCGCGCTATCTCCACATTGGCTTCCCCCTTGGATTATCTGTATCTCTCCATGCTATTCGCGCCTGCGTCTATTCTCCTAATTTTTTATCTGACGCGCGCAAAGGGATTTTAGACCGATATATATTTAGATCGGTTCGGGGCTTTGCGAAAAAGGCTGAAAAGTTTGCCGGGTCGACCCAGTTTCGTGAAAGAGCGACGTGTAGGGGTGGTGGCGGCGCGCTGGTGGTGGCGGTGGTGAAAAGAGAGCTGTGGAGCGGCAAGGCGCGTTGCAGCGCGCGCCAGAGAGAGTCAGCTTATTTCTATCGATCTGACGATAGTAGCTCGCAGTGGCCGCCCCGGCGGCGCGGCGCATGGCGACACGACGCGCCGCGTCGGCGGTCACCTATGTGCTCCGCGGCCTTTAATCCGTCGTGACGCGCCCGACGTCGTCGTTTCGCGAACAGAGAAAGAGAGAAGAGCCGCAACCGCCGCGCCAGCTGACGGATCACCTGTCTCGGTTCTGTCTATCCTTCTCCCTCTTTGTTCTCCCGTCTTTCTCTGTCATTTCTGCTCCACTATACTTGATCGATCTCCGTTATATTTAACCGATCGATCGATCGATCGATCGATTCCGCGAACGCGATCCACGGCGCTATCGGACGTCGCCACGCGCTTCGCCATCGACAGCCAGCGACGGGAGTTCGCCACGGCGTCGACACGACTGCTCCAACATCGGCACCCTTCGCTCCCGCAGCGGAACCGCAACGTCGTTACGTCATCGTCGCCCACGCTGCGGAGGAATAGGTGCGCGTTCGACGAGAGTACGGAAGTCTCGACGTAGGAGAGTACATCGAGGTGCGCGACGTCGCGCACAGTTTCCCACGAAGAGACTTGGCTGTTCTTCAACGGTGAATAAAAAGATGAGGGCTGGTGTTACTCGAGAGATCGGCGGGCTCGCCCGTGAGTGCGTTCGCGGATGAGCAGACCGGGCGCGATATCCACAGGGTGGTTACACGTACGTATCGGGGAATCGCGTACGCGACACTACCGCACCCGCGACGTTCCCCTCGACGACGAGCAGCGGAGTTAGAGCGCCTCGGAGAGCGGCGGATGCGGTTGAAGCGGGCACCACCGTTATCTATACACAGCAACTCTCGAGGGTTGTGCCACGCGAGCCACAAACGGTAATCTCCGGGATTGCCGCGGGACCTCTCGTGATCGTGAAGTAAAACGAAATGGCAAGTGGATAAAGGAGGTCGCGCGCCTTCTCGTCCGCGATGATGGGACGCCCGGTTATCTCACGTATGAATTATTAATTTCCATTGTACCTCATGTTGTCAGTGATGTGTGCTCGGTGGTGAGAAAATGCTCGTCGATTCGCTCGGATCGTTGACGCGCGCGACCAGGACGTCACGAAGTAGTCGGATTTGTAATATCGCGTGGCGACCTTCCTGGCCGTTAGCGCGATTATTAACATGAGAAATCGCGAACGTGGGGACGCACCTCCTTCGCCCACTTCGCCCGAGCATCGCCGCGATCGCGGATTGCCGGCTGGGAAATCCGATTCCCAAGCTTCCCGATGAGAACCAGACGTCTCGTTGGAAGCGCTGAAAGCGGGTCGAGTATCCGCGTCGTTTGATCGAGAGCACAATGCACCGCGACAATGCGATCCGTGCCGCGGATTGCCGATGCGACGCGCGTCATCGGCGACGCGTGCGTATCCGACTGGCGGAAACAGATGTTGCGTCCCCGCTCATCCGGCGCGCACTCTCCGCTCCACGCGGGGACACATTAAATCCCCCGTAGATTGCACGCGGGCCAATCGCGCACGTTGGATCTCCGAGTCGTGGCGGACACGACGCGCTGTGATCTCTATCGCTTCTATCAATCCGGTGGAACGACTCGATTAAATGGCCTGTCGCGCAACAAAAATAACGCAGTGTTTCTTTACTTGCATCTGAGATCTTTTTGGATATTGTTCGCGAGACGAAATCGTCTAGGAATGAACGAGTCGTGTAAATTTCCGCTGTCACGTGTGATCTCGCTGCGAGCAACGGTACTTCAGTGTATTTCGCAGATATTGAGCAACTCTTGTTCTCATCATTTCTCGAGAATAATCTCATAATCATTTTTCATCGTACCAACACGTTTTTGTTATCACCTAATTTTACACTCTAGTAAAACTCCAGCGATATCGACACGAAGACACGCTTGCTTCTTCGCACGATCCGATATATTTTTATCGCGTCATTGAAATGATACACACAGTAATAATTCCTCAATAACGACCGCAATTTTCTTTTTCTCGATGCCACAGCTATCCCCAGTATCGCGGAACAATTTCGTGACAAACAGACTGCACTCTGCGCTAAGATAAGCGAGGGAGAATTGCAGACGGATGTATCTTGCGAGCGTTATCAGCCCTCGCAGTTCGCTGTTCGCCGTTCGGTGGTGTGACGTGACCTTAATGCGCGATCCTCCCGGCGTCGGCGCACCGACGCGCGAACAACCGGCCGTTAATTCGAGGTCTTTGTTAGCCCGAGCGAGAGAAGGCCGTCACGTCAGGGCGCCGAGTATTTCTCCATGCAGTCGAGATGGGGTTGCGCCGAGAGCTGCACCGAGCTGCACACGTCGCTCGCAGAAATCCTCGCGTTGTGCACTTCGCTGTCGGGGGATATACGGCAGCTTTCAACGTCGCGCCCGCTTCCCTGAAAATCGCGAATCAGTCGACACCCGAGGATCAGCGAAGCGCGTCGTCGTTTGCGCTCGGACACATATACATACGGTTGTAATGTAGCCACGGGGGATGGGTGAGTTTCTCACTCGACGAGAAGCTTCTACAAATTGATTTCTCCCGAAGGCGTCTCTGTACGTCGCGCGTGTGCACGTAGAATGCGTGGAGTATCGCGTGTGTAAGCGTGTGTTCCGACCACGACGACACGACTCACAGACGCGCGGTGCGTGAGCGTTTTACGTAGGGCGTCTCATTGATCGACGCGCTTTTGCGTCACGCGCGATCAACCATTACGCCAGGCCTCCCACGCAGCTCACGACAAGTACGAAAAGTCGAACGTACAGAAGACGATTTACCTTCGACCTCTTCGGAGAGTTTGCACGCTTTTTGTTTCGTTCTCGAAGCCGATTATTGACTCTAGATAATTAATGCGCAAGTGCAAAATAGCTATGTACACACACATAGTACTCGACATAAATAGTCTACTAAGTCCGGTTACAATGGAATTTCCTGATCATGTGCAATGTTTTGATATACATTCGTACATTGTAAGTGTTTAATATTCTAACATTATCGCTTCTTCAGCATCACAGTCATAATGCACGAATATGTAAAAGAATTGTGTGATTATGTAATCCATTATAATCAGGCCTAGTATAACATATAAGGCCATTGTACCGATCTATGTACGGTCAGGTGCATTTAGAGAAAGAGTGCACAAAATTCTCTTTAGTGTTTTTACCTTCAGTATTTTTACCTTTAGTATTAAATCTACAAATCTATCACGTAATGAAATGAAAATTTGTCTTTTTTAAACAATATACTTATTATTAATTCCCAAAACACATATAGTAACACACACTGTCTCATAATTTAATATTGCTTTTTTTGTTAATCTTATTGTAATTTATAATATCCTATATATACTTTACATTGTCCACACATGAAAAAGGATTGTATACATGTCATATAGACAATACGTAAGTAAAACGTGGATTACATCCACGCGGATGTAATCTTGAAATCTATGGCACAGCCTGGTGTATAATCTATAGATTCGATCTTCCGGATAGATGCGTACACATCAGAAGCCTATAAGTGACGCGCGCGTCAACACGCGTCTTTCTACACTCAATAAGAACATCGTTGACGCACCTTACTGTATATACACAAATATATATTGATATCGTGAGGCCCCAACGAATCGCGGTTACACCGAATGGAATGAGCGTCGATACAGCTAATCGATGACTTTATTCGCTGCAACCTGACGAAACTGCGGTTCGTTAAAATTTCACAATGATACTCGATTAAAGGGTCGCGGTCGATGTTTTAGGGGAATCGGCACACTCCGGTGCATTTTAATCGCGCTTGTGCTCGGAAATCTCAAAATACGCACGAACGAGTCGTTAATCTCCGCCTTGTGATTGTAATCTCGAGGTTCCCGCTCGAATCTCCCGCGGAATTGGTGTCTCTCGAGTGACCGTGTTCGAATATCAGGATACATTTATGCGCACAATCCGACATCTCCAGTGCATACCAGAAACACCTCGAGGTGCTCGAGGAAGGAGAAGCGTCATCGTTCGCGCGAGTCCTTGCGTTATGCGTCTCGTTATGCGAACTTGAGATGCGCGAGGACGGCCCGATCGAATTTCCACGGATCCCGTAATTAACGTGATAATCGTGCCGGAAATATACAGGCGAAATTTGCATTTTGATTCGCGCGATTTAAATACGAATGAGTTCGACGCGAGTAACCGCCGGAGATCGTGGATCTGAAATCGCGAGTGGTCACGTTGGTCCGCAGCAATTTAGCAATCTCTGGCGTTTCCACGCCACGAATTCGCGAATAATACTTCGCGTTTCTTCAGCGTTCTTTCAAATGGAGGAAGATTGCATCGGTCGATAACAAACGGTATCGATCCAAAGAGTTCGAAAGCCAGAGTCATCCTTCGTACGAATGTTGCGTGTTTCACGTCGCACAGCTTTGCTATAATACATAATTTAATTATAATTTATCTGAAATAGATACTCTACCTCTTACTATGTCTATTTATATCCGTTTCACTGTAATTTATTCCTCAGCGCTCTCCCTCTACCGATATATTTAAGAGAGCATTTTCTATGAGACGTACCTGCGTGTAATTATTAATAACTGTGTAACGATATCACGTTCCATAAAGCGACCGCAGCGCTAAGCGTAGATCGTTTTCTTTAATTTTGCAGGGAGGTTCGCACGGTCGTATTGAATAAAGGATCTTCCGGTCTGGGTTTCAACATCGTCGGCGGAGAGGATGGCGAGGGTATCTTCATCTCGTTCATCTTAGCCGGAGGTCCGGCCGATCTCAGTGGCGAGTTGCGCAGAGGCGATCAAATATTAAGCGTCAATGGCATCAATCTGCGGACAGCCACCCACGAGGAGGCCGCTGCGGCCCTCAAGGTAAGAGAGAGAGAAAGTTCTGTGCGACGTGTGACGCATGTAGTCTTCGGGGAATTCGAAGTGAACTTTTCCGTAGAAGACGGTAGACAGGCATCGTCGAAATGTCTCGGTTTTAACTCAGAATCTCGAGTCAGAATCCCGCAGTGAAGGAATGTAAATGTTAAGCTTGACAGTTTCCGACGTTTAATTCGCGAGCTGTCTGCTCTTCGTAGCTCGAGACCTCGAAATTCCAACGAGATTCTCTCGAAATGACATATGCATACATTATGTACCTATTTTTGTCGGTGCGGCGCTCAGGGTACCGGTCAGACAGTGACAATCGTCGTGCAATACAAGCCTGAAGATTATAACAGATTCGAGGCGAAGATCCACGATCTTAAACAACAGATCTCGCAACAGAATGTGATGACAGGCACCCTCATGAGGACCTCGCAGAAGAAGTCACTCTACGTGAGGTAATTTCGCGCGCGATCATATCCCGATGTCTTGCGTGTTAATCCGAATAACGGTACGTAACGTTACGATTTTCTTCCCGAAGAGCGTTGTTTGATTACGATCCCAACAAGGACGATGGTTTACCGAGTCGCGGCCTGGCGTTCCGCTACGGCGAGATCTTACACGTAACGAACGCCAGTGACGATGAATGGTGGCAAGCGAGGAGAGTCACCCCTCAGGGTGAAGAGGAGGGTCTGGGTATAATACCATCGCGCAGACGATGGGAACGCAAGCAACGCGCCAGAGACCGTTCCGTCAAGTTCCAGGGACACATGCCGGTTATCCTCGATAAGGTGAGTCTGATGAATCTCTCCCGACGAGAACGCAATATTTCCCTGACAAGAAAACCATAAATCGCGAGAGACAATCGCGAACATGACATTTCATGTCGACAGGTCTGATTTTGTAAATGTGACGTCTGATTAAGAATGCGAATAAGTTAATTTACGTGAAAATTAATGATTATAATGAAAAATGCGTCGCGTGTAATTGAAGAACACTTTAGATTCTTATACAAGTATAAGTAATAATTGTTCTATTTCTCTCTCGGTCTTAACGAAACTTCTCGTTAATATTTTGTTTACCGGATCTGAGTATGCCAAAAATATTCAAGATGAAACATAAAAACGCCTGGCGTGAGCGATAAACAATTCGAGATACGGCCTCTCACTTTTCAAATTTGTACAACATTGACAAACTTGACAAGACGTCTCTTCGCGAGAGTAAGCTGTATTATACCGCATATTCCGCGACACCAGCTATGAAGCGATTCGTAACGCGCGTAATCGAAAAAGCGTGTCCGCTTCGCTCTCATTAACGCTAATGAGAGAGGGAGAAAGAGACGGCTAATCGAATATTCATCGCGATCGATAGCCGCAGCGCGACCGTCACCACCTGCAAATTTGATACAGTTGATAAATGGAGCTAGTCTCCGCAGCAAATTCACGCGACAAGACAAGCTATTTCGGCCATGACGTTGCCGTTCAAACAAGATCCCGTTTCACTCGAGCATACCAATACCTTCGTCGAAATAGTCTCACTCGTGTCGATGCGCTGTCGGGACGCGAAATCGTATCCGGGGGTGATTTCGTGATCAGCGTCGGGAAGCGCGATTCTTCGCGCGACGCATCACGCAATAAACTCGTTACTTTCAGCAATCGACGTTAGATCGGAAGAAGAAGAACTTCTCGTTCAGCAGGAAGTTCCCATTCATGAAGAGCAAGGACGACAAGTCCGAGGATGGCTCCGACCAGGAACGTGAGTGTCCCAAAAACGATCTTTCGTTCCCTCCTACCCTCGCCTTTCACGCCTCCCACCTGCACGTTCTGTGCATGTTCTGACCCGTATTTAATGTGTTTTACGTGTTTTTTCTCGCCGTATGTTTTCGCCTTACTTATATACCGTATACCATGCGACTTAACCGCTGAGTTATACGAGGTTATTACCCTCGCCGCCCTCCCCCCCTCAGCCCTCGGCCGCTGTTTTCGTACATATATACATATGTAATCGATGGGATCGATTTGAATCAATAATTCATCGCGCGCCGCCTTCTGCGACGAAGCCGGAAAGTTTGCTCGAGTTACATAGTTCAGGATGCGACGTTTAGAGAAGAGAACGTTCCTTTGTCGTTTTACCGACGGGAAAAACTTGCTTTCGCTTTGTTGAGATGCAGTAACGTCACGTGTTCTTCGATCGTTTAACGCGACATGATAATTTCTGGTTTTTGCGCTTGCTAATTCGATACGTCGCGATCTCGTGGAAGCTTGAAAGCTATGATCTTAATGGGGTTTTGAAGTAAGTGCGACTAACGTGTCTCTCTCCGCCCGGAGACGGAGAGTGTGATCGCTTTCACACGTGAGGCTTATCTGTTTGGAGTTTCAACTTGCGACGCGATGGTGAGGCCCAAGATCAGCCCAAGTCCCGAATGAGCTTTTGTGTTTTTTACTATGTGAAAACGTGACATGTGTTTTTGTTTTGCCTGCTTGTGTAGGAACGCCCACAACACCCGAGAATGAGAACGATCCCACCCGTAAGTATCTTAATTAGTCAGTCAAGTAATAAGCTCTGTTAAATGTGCGCTTCGACCGTTTCCCGAGCACGATGCGCCGTGGTACGCCGCGAGCCAACAATCCCGATATTCGTATCAAGTTCCCTAACGATATATCCAGTCAAACGTGATTCCGATATCGAAAACATCGTTAATTCGAAAATTAAATAAATCGTTAAATTAGAATTAATGGCGACTTTGTTAATTCGTGACAATGACCAGAAACTGAAGTGGACATCGCAAGAGGTTCGATGTCGTCGAAGTAGTCGAAATGAAAAATTACAAGCCAATAATGATTGAATACAAGTGATGAAAAATTAAAATCAGAGTTCACGAAAGAGCGAAGCGATCGCGCAACTCGTCTGATCGTCTCCTCCAGATCGTTGGGTCGGTATTTGATCGAAAGATTAGATCTCGCGATGCCGCTTGCGGCCAACCACCGTGTGCATCCGTCCAGCTACCACACGAGAGCAACCGCAACGCGTTTCGCTCCTCTTGCCTCGGCTGCGCATGCACGCTGCACCTTGAACTTTTCTGCATCGCACAAAGCCTCTCTGTATTAACAGCCCGTTCGACACGTTATCTACGCTCTCGACTTCGCTTCTAACTTTTGGCTTTTTCATTATTGGACGATCATGAGTAGTCTATAGCGGTCCAGCACGTCCACAGCGAGGTGTTTCTTTCAAACAATAGCTCGTACTCTCTCTTTCTCTCTCTTCTCTCTTTTTCTTTTCCTCCTCTCTCTTTCTTTTTTCTCTTCTACTCTACTCTCTACTCTCCTATCTATCTCTTTCTCTCTCTCTCTCTCTCTCTCTCTCTCTCTTACTCCTCTCCTATGAAAAGATAGTAGACGCGATAGAAACGCAACTCGTCATCTCTCATGGATCGTGTCACGAAGCACGTCATCGTCATCCACTATCAGTCACACAGCGACACTCCGAAATCAGAAGATCGCGAAAGACATGTCTAACCCGCTAGATGCATGTATGTGGCAGTATCGTTGTTAGATCGAAAAATTCACGTGCCGCTCCTCGAGAAATTCGGAATCGCGACGCCATCTCAGAGACGTAGACGCTTGTCACGTAATCGACGGCGAAAAAAGTATATTTCAGTATCGAGCCTCTCTCTCTCTTTCGCACACAGCTGCTTACATTTCTCCGGTTCTTCCTTTTCTCTTTCTCTTAGACGCGATATTTTCAAGCATGAGTGAGAGCTCAGTAATTATCTGTGCCAATGTCGTGAAGAAAACACGCTGATAACATACCGCATTGCATCTTCGGATAAAACTCAACGCGAATGCGAATCATTGAAAATACGATCGTTTTATCGAGCTACTAGATGTCACAAACGTAACTAACCTAATAATTATGACGAAAAAGCAGACGGAGGGATTCGGGTTTGTCGCAAGACTCGCGAACGCACAGCTTCATGTTCCTCATCGAATTCACCCACGTCGGAATTGCGCGCAGTAGGAGAGTCTCGAGTTTTAGCGCTTAATTAATTTCTAGCGATAATTAACGGCCGCTTACTTAGTACGCAACGTATACTGAAATATTCAACTTGTTATGTTCTAGCATTCATGCTGTGCTACACCCAGGACGACACTAACACTGAAGGTAATCATGTCTCTCTCTCTCTCTCTCTCTTCTCTTTCTTTTCGCTCCTGCTCTTCTTTGATTTTCCTCTTTCTTTCTCCCTCCTCTTCGCACTTCTCTCTCTCTCTCTCTCTCTCTCTCTCTCTCTCTCTC